ACTTTAAAAAAAAAAAAAAACTCGTCCTACCAACGAAGCTTACTTAGATACGGGAAGTTTATAAGTCGATCAAATAAATTATAAACTAACTTATTTGTCGACCAAACATAAGCTTAGAATATTAAAGGATAAGATGAGACCAAAGTAACTATATGTAATTAAATACATAATTTTAATATAAATAAAGATATATATAAGATGAGATAGCCAAAAAAAATAGTAGAAAACGTATAGCTGAAATTTCGCACTATTAGGTGTCCACGCCTTATTTCTATGAAGTCAACCAAATAAATCAATTATACAAAAAAATTTATGGAGCTATCGGATAGTTTTCTTATGTAGCCATTAATCACTTAATTCTTTTATACTTGTCCAATATGTATTTATTGTATGACACATGTCAATATACTATTTGTAAATAATCATGAATGGTTTCATAGGTCGAGCCATCCAATGGTTCGATAACAAAAACCGATCAATTATAATACTTACCCTAAAGTAAAAGCAATACTTTAATGAGTAATGCTAAAAGTACATAACATTGTACACAGGGATGTACATAACACTCACATTGGATGGGACCCACCAAAAATAAAAAAAAAATTAAGTAGACCTCACTCTATGTGGGTGTTATATACACCTCTATACTTGTATTTCCTAAATTAATATCGAGTATTAGTTAAATAAAAGACAACAAAATGTCCGAAAATGAATTTACCCAATGTCTAATTGTGCCCATGAATTTGACTTGTTCACATGTAATTGGCATCGATTTTATTTTACTTTTTTTTTATATAATAATAATAATAATAATAAGATCACAAAATTATTACACATTTATTTCGATAATTGTAAATAAAGGTTTATACCAGCCGAACCAAGCTCGTGCTCAGGCTTGAGTTTTTATCGAGTCGAGCTCGACTCATTAACTACGTGAGCCAACAAAACGAGCTCAAGTTTGACTCTTATATTAATATTAACGAGTTGAAATCAAGTGACAAACCAAATAATATAAAAAATTACATAAAAATTCGATTTTCAAGCTTTAATGAGTCCGTTCGGCTCGATTCGTTCGCTCAGTGAACTTTGAACGGGCTCAACTAGTTTATTGAAGTCAGAGTCATAAATACTATGGGCTCAACTAGTTACGAGGAGTACTCAACAAGATCGACAAACTGCACTTTTCTTCGTATAGGCCTCATCTGTTTCAATACTATGGGCTTTGTTAGTAGCCCAAATTTTGACTATCCACGTAAATTATAGTTATGAAAAAGCCCACTTCTGCTGGAACACAAAAATCTCCATTTCTTTTTTTGTCAAACATTAATAAAAGTTGAAATTTTGTTTTGTTCGGTCCCTTAAATTGCTTTAATAAAAGTTGAAATTTTGTTTTAATATATATATATATATATATATATCATGGTATTATGACCATGATATGATCCTAAAAAAAATTGCTGAAACCACCATAAAAATTTATCTACAATAAATAAAACTCCTAATTACAAAGGCTTGAACTAAATAATTATTCACTGTCTAAACAGTAAAGTGGTGTAAGATGGGTAATTTGAAAATTATATTCCAGATTTATATTTTATGCAATTGAATGAATAACACGTGTACATAATTAAGGCTGTAAACGAGCCGAGCCGAGCTTAAGGTGTTTGAGCTCGAGCTCGAGCTCTTAACGAGCCAAGCCGAGT